TGCTTTGTATGTTAAAAAGATTACGAAGAAAATCTCATACTTTAAGTTCTTTGCTTGATTAAATTATAGCTTGTTTTAAATGACTGATTATACTTGAGCTCCAAACAACAAACAAAAAGCTCAATGAATAAATTTTAGCACTAAATCCCAGTTTGGATTGTATTTAGGGACAAAGTCACACAGTGTTTATCTGTCCAGCAGAGTGGGTTCATAAAATGCTATTGGTTGAGTTTTTTTGTTCTGCAAAAGCTGAGCTATTTTGTTCTGTTGTATCCCATATTAACATTTATACAAAACTGCTGGAGGATTGTTTATACTGCATACCAATAAGTAGGTGGCATATAGTTTTACTTCTGTTTTCCATATATTAATCCCATAAACATTCTATTATGAATAAATATATGGAGCAAAATGAATATAGCCAAGGATGAAGACTGAATTTAGATAAGACAAGACAAGCATTAAGTATGGAGAAATTTACTAATACAGACAGAAGGATTAAACTATTGCTGGATAAGACTGAATTCTCTTCTGAACTTTGTAACATAAGGTAACTTCTGGAATCAACTTTGTGAAAATAAAGGTAGTGGCCATCGGCAAAGAAATAATTTTTTAACTAGCAAAGTTAATTCACTTTTGCTTAAAGTGTAAATTTAAATACATCTTTTTTCTTAATGTACATTTTCTTAATCATGCACATTTAGAATTCATGTTAAGAATTCCACTGGGCCCATTCTGGCAGGATAAAATTCTTCTCATTCAATCTGGTGAACTATTTTCCTCTACAATTGCAATACTTTCCCCAATGTATTCATGCTCTAGATCTGCCCATTGTGCCCCTTTTCTCCCCAATCTGACATCAGAGAGGGAGATGAAAAAATCTGAAGAGCTGAAGAAAAAGAAATTTGGTTCACATTTTAATCCACAAGGCTCAGTTCATCCTTTTACCTCAGAGATAAAAATGTGATACCTCCGATGGATTTTGGAAAGTAACTGTAGGTGATAGGATTGTAGTCTAAGACTTCTTGATTGAAATCAAATTCCCTGTAAGTCTCATAAATGTTAGCTTCCAAGAAATGCTGCTTTGCAGGATGCCCCAAACTCATGTTTTTTCCTTTCCTATTTAACATTTACATAAGATCACTGGGTGACGTGACTGGACTGTTTGGAGAGCAGTATCACCAATACATTAATCATATCCAGCTTTATCTCCTTTGATTCAATTCAAACAAGACTGAGTGGCCTTCAGTATTTGGATCTCCTGGTTACAAGATTCTTCCATCTCTGGTTCTGGATGGGGTGCTACTGTCCAAGATGGACTTGGGTGTGCCATTTCAGGGTCCTCCTGTGCTCAAAGCTACTGTTAGAAGAGCAGGTACTGTAGTAATCGTGGCTAGGAGAGTTTTTGCACATCTGTGGGTTGTAAGCCAGTTGTGCTTATTCCTGGACTGGGAGGCTTTGCTTACAGTCACTCATGCCCTTGTGAACTATTGTCAGGATTACTGCAACATGCTCTACACGGGACTGCCCTTGAAAATTATTCAGAAGCTTTAACTGAAGCAAAATGCAGCTGCATGGATAGTAAATAGTACCAGATATTTGACATACGAGTGAGCTGAATTGGTTGCCAATACATGCAATTCAAGGTGGTGGTTGTTATCTTTAAAGCCCTTTATAGCTTGGGACCAATTTAACTAAGGAACCATCTTGTTTCAGCTGTTTCTACCAGTCCAATTCAATATAGCAGACGGGACATATTACAGTTTCTGACAGCCAAGGAATATCGGCTGGTGGGGACCATGAGATATGTCCTTAGCTGTAGTCTCTACCCTCTGGAACATTCTGCCTTTCGAGACTGGGATGACCTTGATCCTGTTGGTCTTTTATAAGACTGTGAAGATGTAGTTATTAGCCCAGGCCTGGGGCCCTAAGGGCCCAGTTACTTAGCTAGTTTAACATGTATGGCAATAATTTATTCAGCAACCACACACACACACATATTCCGTATTGCTTTTAACTGTTTTATATTTTTATGATGTATGCTATGCAATGCTGAGATGGATTGGTATAGAAATTAAATACATACATACATACATACTATCTTACCATTATGCTCACTTAACATCTCACCAATACATTTTTATAAACAGTATTATTGCAATCTAAACCTCTTTTTAAAAGCAAAACATTCTAGAAAGGCATTACAGTTTCCAGTTTTCTACGAACAACTTATCATCATTATTAATTCAATTTGATGCCACTCAGTTTCAACCAATTTATCCAAATTGCAACAACAATAGGATTAAAATAATATAACTCATCTTAATCCTATGGTAACTAGAACGGCAATGGTAACAAATGATACAGAGACACTGATTCAATATAAGTCTGGGCAAATCAATAGGTTTAAAAGTTTTCAGTACTTCTGCACTTCTTCTAAACAGGAAGGTTCTTTTCATTGATCCAATATGACACTAGCAAGTTTTTTTTCTGAACTTTCTGTTGGAAAATTTTATTTTTAATTTTCACATCCCAAGTTTGTTCTAAAGAACTCAAGGTAACATTTATGGAAAATACTCCTTGCTTTTTCTGTCAAGGACTGTTGTAAGTTAGGCTAGGGTGAAAGAAAAGTAACTGATCCAATGTCACTCTAGACTTCATGAACAAGGTAGTATGAACATGGATCTCCCTGGACCTAGGCTAAAATTTTAATGATAAGACTGTACTGCCTTTACCATCAACCAGTTCTACATTTAAACAAAATTAAATTAAATTCCTGGAGATCAGATTGCTTCTTCAGAGATTAACAGTACAAACAAAATGTTTCAAATCAACAACCATGTCTGCATGGTTGTAAAAATTGTAAAAATTTACTCTGCTTTCATTAGTTATAGCAAACAGAAATTTGAATTATATTTTAACTCCATAAGAAGTATAACAAAACAATTGCTACAAAAATCAATGGTGGAATGTTTCGTATGTTCATACATATATTACCACTGATTACATTCAGTTCAATCTCTCTTTTTTCTGTGATTCAGGTGTGATGGTGGAAATACTGTGGTGGTCGTGCTTCTGGGCTAAGTCATAGATTAATTTATTTAGAAAATGTATTATGCTTAAATCTAAAAAGACTGCTGGTATATATAAGATTAGTAATACCATCAATGCAAAAAATTTAAATTATCAGTAACAAGTTATCAACATAAACCCATAATTTATCATTCTCTAAAGGTGATAAAGGTCTGCTTGACCAAGCTATTCCAAAGAAAGAAAGTCCTCACAAGAAGGCTAATTTAATCCTCCATCCTTCCCTCCCATCACACTTTCATGATATATTTTCTGTTTGTTTGATAATTTTATCTCTGTCATAGGTTGGAGACACACTACAATCAAGCAAATTGCTTTGCTTTCAGCAGTTAAAAGCAGGCTATTTTTTATTATGATGCTTCCCTTTGATTCCTTTGATGTTTGTGGTCAACATTTCAATTTTGCTTAGCTGAATTAATTTAATGTTAATGACTTATTTCTTTTTACAAATGGACATATGTCTATGTCTTGTCTAAGAACTTTACAGCCACAACAATAACCTTTTAACTCCAGGGGGTACATTTGGTATTTTAAGCTTACGTTAAGGAAATATGCTTCTTTAAAGTACAGCTTTCCCTTTGGAATATTTTCTCCCTGGTTGTCCTATCCTCACGGTTTATGTCTCCACAAAGTATTTCAAAGGGAAAGCTCAACTGTCCTCACAGCCCCTACAGTCTCAGCTTTATGGAAATAATTTAAAGCTGTTTTATTTCAGCAGCTTGCAGCATCAGCAATTGCAGTGATTGCGCATATTATGGAGATTTAACTGAAAACTTGTATTTTTGTTTTGTGATTCAGTCCAGTCCAGTGGTGGCAAACCTATGGCACGGGTGCCAGAGGTGGCACTCAGAGCCCTCTCCGTGGGCATGCACACCATCACCCCAGCCCCACATCCCCCACGGCCCCCTCACCAGCAGCCCCCTGGAGGAGAGTCGCCCTTGAGCATGGCCCACACGGAGGAGTGCAGCCAACGACATGGCAGCCGGGCAGCAGGGACATGACTCTACCCTTGCGCCCTGTCACGCGCAGTTGATGCTGTGGGGCGCAGGTGGAAGGCATGGCTGCCATAGCACTGCTGGGCCATCTGGGTGATATGCAGCAGGCCGTAGAGGCGGTGGATGGCCCTGTGGGTGGGGGCAGAGCTGGGGTGGGACAGGGGTGGGGGGGTGGAGCAGGGGCGGGTGGGGGTGGCGGGGAGGGACCAGTTTTGGGGCACTCGATCTCTAAAGCATTAAATTATAACCAACCATCATTTTATTTTTGAGAATATAAAGTGTTAAACTATTACTGGAAATAAGGGGATGGATTTCTTTTGAAACCTTCCCTTTTCATACGTTAGCTTAAAAGGAATGTTTTAAGTATGGAAAATAGCAGAGGGTTGAGCAGGTGCCAAGGAAATTCTGGAGTGCAATGTTGGAGACCACTGTATTAGAATTTCTCCATATATCATTGGTGGCAATTTGTGCATTGCAAGAAGGTTCCAGGATCATGCTTTAAGCCCAACAGTAAAATGGGGATGAAGGATTTGATTTTTATATAGTTTTAAGATGAGCAATAAAAAGAATTGTTAAACTTCCACGAGGATTTCTATTAACTTTTCTAGCTCAACAGCTGGATACCACTGCCCTGCCTGCTTCAGAGGTCGAAAATAATGAAAAAGACACATTTGTACTCTAGTTGAAAAACACTGTCCACTTCAGACAATCATGCAACAGACACATTTATAAGAAACATTTAACTGCATGAAACTGATGTATAACTGTAAGGGATTTTGCCATGTTAAAATATCTTTACATTTTCTTCCAAACTTTACTTGTGCCTACATGGCAGAATTCATAAAATTTTGTTCACCTGCAACCAGTTATCAAGCTAATACCTTCTGTTTTATTTCTTTTTTATAAATCTCATAGTCCGTTGGCACCAGCTATGGATGGAACAGCTGCAAGTTGAAACCTTTAACCTACGGAACACATAGGCTCACAGTCTGCTGGATTCTGCCTAAGGTAAGTAGATTGGCACCACTATTTGCAATTTTCTCAGAAATTAATACAAAGTACACACAATCGATAAACATTTGGGAAAATGAAGTCAGCACCAGATCCATGGCTTTTGATTTTTTCAGAACCTAGCTGTGCTGGCTTGTTTCACAAGTTTGTACAGAGCACCTGGGAGCAATCTTCCATTTCTTGCAGATATGAAAGAATTCCCTCTTTGATTTTCTGCAATTCAGGGAAGAGTAAAGTGTTTACTCCTCACATATGAAATCAAAGTTCTAAGTAACCACATAAATTCATAATCACAAGTAGCACACTTATGCTATTTTTTCTTCATTTTAAAGACTTTTTACACAGTTTTTAAAATGTATTTTAATGCTTTTTAACTATGTGCAACTTTGGTTTTTATACCTTTAGCTTTTTAAAAATGACTGTTTCTACTCAATTCTCCTTATGCTGGTATATTACTGTAATAAAGATTTGATTGATTGATGTAGCTTTCTGCATTTCATCTCATTGAAAACATTTTCAGCCTGAAAACAATGGCTAAATCTGTGCTATTTCAGTTGATTCATGTATTATCCCATAATAGTTATGTAAACTATCTGCTTCTTTAAGCAGTATTAATAGTGGAATAGAGAAATTTGTTCAAATTTTGATCTCTCTTTTTTCAATAACATGCAGTTTTTCTGTTCAAGGAAACGGGAAGCTTAAAGTGGTAATAAGGAGTTTAAAGTATACACACATTTTGCTTGAATAAGATCCCATCTTCAATTCCTAACAACTGTTTAAATGGTCTCAGGTTAGAACTCTGTCCTTGAGACAATTATAATTATAAATTATAATTATAAGTCAGACATACCAGTTAGATATGCCAGTAGTACTCTAGCTGATTGGGAGATGTAGCAACCCAATGAAGTTGGAGAACACTAGTTGAGGGAAGGATGCTTTATGACACACAGAAACGATGACAAGTCATTCCAATTATATAGACATGTCTAGAAGCAGCATACAAACTAGTTCTATAGTGTATGTGAAGTCAAGCAATTTCTTTTATTGTTAAGTGAAGAAAAGCATTTTGCTATCTCTGAACTAGGATCATTTTTGAGATATGTACTATGATTATAGCATAACTTCATACAGGAGAATCTTGCTTTAACTGGAATTTGCATAGAAAATCAGTTGGACAGTGACATAAATGAGTCCTTTAATTTCTATGGTCTAGGATTTATGAACGTTTTTCTTTCACTTCTGTTTCCACTTACTTTACAGCTGTCTGCAAGACTAAGAACATCTTTATAATTAATGCACTCACATTTCCAATATCGTGGGCATAGTTATTGCATACGTCTTTAATTTGGATTCAATTACATTCTCATAAAATTAACATTTAAAAACTGTACATGTGTGTGTGTTTGCATCTCTCTGTGTATAAGTGTGTGCATGTAAGTAAGATAAGCAATAAAATAGTGCATAGAAAGAGGCTTAATGCTGTTCCCACAACAAACTGGATGGTTTAGGGATTACCAGTGAAATTTGAAGATGATAACCACCATCCCCATGTTTCAATCACAATCCACTCACTCACATTGTATTTTTAAGATTCACATAATTGCACAAGATACAATTGTGCAAATTTACATATTATCAATATTTTTCTAACAGTAGTCAGATGTAGAAAAGTTACTATTTAAATAGTATTATTAATGGGATATATGACTATATATTTTCTATGTGACATAACTGTTTTCACTGTCATATAGAAAATGTATGAATTATATGCATACGAAGTATCTATAGTGTACTAAATTTTAGGACAGCTCTGTGGAATAAAATGCAGCATGTTCAAACTTATTAGGAGCATATTTCAAATTATTTTTAATTTCATGTGGGCAATAGAAGTAAAATAATTTATGGGAAAGATAATTGTACTTCATTAAAAAAGACAATTTTTACTGAAAAATCTGATAAACAAGCAAACAAACAAACACATACATAAATACATACAATTCATTCATTCATTCATTCTCAGAATGGAGGTCTGCCACAATTTTCCCTCTCCAATCATGCTTCCAATAAAACTATCCTTAGTGCAAGGGAAAAAATGATTGGCACCAATGGAAAAGTGAAACTGCAGCTGAGGAAGGGAAACTAGCTTGGAAAGAAATATTTTATTATATTGCAAAACACTAAATAATACAAAAAGTAACTACAATAGTGCTACAAACAATTAGGGTATACCATAGATAAGCATTAGCGCTAGAAGCAAAGAAAGCTGAATTCAATCTCAGTCTTAGAGATTAAATACATAAATGGTCAATAAATATAATTTGTAAAACTTGAGAAGGCAAGAAGACAAATTGATTGCAGAACAATCCAGACTTCTTACTCGAAGAAGAAATAAACAGAATTTAAATTATCATAGTTTAAATAAAATAGGTGATGACCTAGCTCCGTGGTGGCGAACCTATGGCAAGCGTGCCAGAGGTGGCACTTAGAGCCCTCTCTGTGGGCATGCGCACTGTCGCCCCAGTCCTAGGCCTTCAGCTGACTTTTATAAAACCTTTTTGCTTTAGGCCTCCGCCATGATGTGCAAAAAAAAAAAAAAGGTTTAATCAATCAATCAATCAATTTCAACTTCTTGGGGAAAAAAAAAGATCTCGCAAAGTTGGAATTCATTGATTGAACTTTTTAGTCCCACCCAGTCTGCCATTACCATTGAAGCCATGCCTATCCAATGGGCCACATGCACCCAGCACCCGATGATACATAAGTGGTCTTTGGATTGCAGTTTGGGCACTCGGTCTCTAAAAGGTTCGCCATCACTGACCTAGCTGTTTGGAGAAGTCTATAATGCTGGCAAAGGTGGAAGAAGAGGACAACCGAGAGCAAGGCAGATGGTCTCAATTATAGCAATGATGGACTAATGATATACACTACTGGAAGGACCAGGTTGGGGTGGGATCACTGCAGAGAAAATCTCTGTGGTTGCTGAGGATTGCCACCAACTTAATGGCACATAATCACCAGAAGTTTAGAGAATAAAGTCTAAGATTTTAAATAAAGCTTATGTGGAAGCATTGGTACTTTTTCAATCAGCTCAAGATATTTTATTCATTCATTTTGTTCACTATAATCAAAACAAAGAATCACAGTGAAGCAGCCTACCATACTTCAGTAAATGAGTTTCACAATTAACATTTAGATATTTGTTTTTAGACTGTTTTTATATAATATTGGCTTCGGTTCTCATAAATGTTAAGACTTGGGGGAAAGTGATTGTCTCGGTGCCTCATAAATATTGTAAAACATTGCTTATACTACACGAAAGTGTTTTATGAATCAGAAAACACTGCTATTTTTATGGTTGTGGCAGATTAATGCAACACCCTCTTCAAAGTGATTGTGTACTAAAATAGGTATTGTCCATTTTTAAATTTCCTAAAGCAAGCCTTAAAACTTTTTTCATTTCTGATTTATAATGATTTTGAACACAAAGATTTTTGTGACAGTGACAGTCATAAACTTAGCACAAATACCAACAGACTATAATTGTTGGGCCTCCCAGTCTAACAGTACAGAAAGTTCCACAGGTTTCTTGTGCTTACTTGGACCAGATTGTACATACTCAACTAGCAGAAAAATAAACAAGTGCTTAACTTTAGTAACTGGGAAAGATGTAGATCAATATCACACATACAGTTTGGATTACTTCTGTGATCTCTTGCCATTACCAATGATGGCAGGGCTGATGAGAATTTAAATTCTAAATTTCTGGAGTATACTAGGTTGCTTATTCCAAAGCTAGGAAATCCTAATTCATGTGTTAACCCTACTATGAATTCACTATGTATATAAGGCAAATTTGTCAGTGTAATGACAGTGTAGTCTAGTGACAGTGCCACACCACATTGTTTCCTTAACATCTAATTTAGAGATACTGGTAGAGTACTGTGTGTGTGTATGTGTATGTGTGTGTGTGTATGCATAATATGAAGTGAACTGAGCATGTCAAAACATTTCACTAATGCTATTATCTGAAATATAACTTTCTTCTAAATTAAAATAAGATTTTTCAGTATTTTTATATCATGTATGTATCAATATACATTTCTTGATAACATAAGATTCTTTTAAATATTCTAAATTATTACCCCTCTAGTTTTAAAAATGAAGCAGCAGGGAGAATTATGCCTATGTACAAAGTAGCTACTAACAAGATTTTATACAGTTCTATAGCGGACTATGTTTATAATATTCTGGATTAATATTTGCAGATATGTCCATATTTTTTGCTGTAAGGATAGCAAATCAAAGATTCACTGCATATTATTTTTGTCAGTGCCATAGACTAGTTTCAAACTATCAAGAAAATATGAATACTTTTGTTTCCTGAATAGTAGCCAGCTATTCCTGCAGGTAAGCCACTATCTAAACTGAAACTATTCTAAAACAATTTTTATTATCTGGCAGTGTATATACATATATGGTCCAAAGGGTGGAAATAAAGATAAACCTATCTAATTGAACACTCACTTATTTTGTGATGAGTTAGTTTCTAAAACAGTGTACACTTTAATAATGATTTTAAAAAAGTGCTTTGAACCTCATACGAACATTGTACTTCTTATTCATTAAATATTTGTTTCAGCTTTCTGCATGAGACAATAGTTGATTGTTTCAAATTAATGAGACTCTTAAAACATGATTGCTTTCAGTTTCATATTCTGAAAAAAGATGGGCCCCTTTAATGAACACAAAGGACCTGAGAATCATTTCTGAAGTGTTCTCAATCCTATAATAACTTTTAAACTGTTTCAAAACAATTGTTTTAAAACAATCAAAATCAAAATACCCACAGAATTTTAAAACAATCAAAATCAAAATACCCACAGAATGCAATGAAATCTACTCTTAGATAAATATTTAAAAGTGTAACCTAGATTTTTCATATTGCTCCACTTTAGGAATAAGGAATTCAGCTTAAAAAAATAGATAAATATAAACTTTATTGGAGTGACAAGACTGCATGGCCCTCCCCCTAATTTAATTAAATGGTTTTAAATACTATTTCAAGAAAATTGTAATGTAAATATCATTGTGAATATTATTATAGTGTGAATAAAATGTGTAACAATTTACATGCATTTGGATTTTAAATTACCCCCCCCCTTATAATGAGAGATTCAAATTCTGGCTACAAATCTACTGAAGTGGCATAAAGATTTTCAGTTTAATGATTGATGACTTAATTCTTCATCTTCTAAGATCAGTGTATTGCCACAGATCACCTGTCATGATAGGGCACAGTTCATTGGAATAAGCAATAATTTGCATGCATATATCCATTATACTGGTTATGGTATCTCCAGTTAGAATGATTTGACTCTCAAGGCTAGGAAATACTTTGGGAAACTACTATATGTATCCTTGGATTAGATGAACCAACAATGAGCAGCTTTAGATGGCAAAAACCTCTTTTTGCTAAAAAACCTCAAATTTTATTACATTCTTCAACTATCTGTAAGGTTTGTGTACATTTGCTGAGATTTAAAGTTCTACACACTGTTACATCTCCTTTGAAATACTAAGTTCAGGAGGGCTTTTGAGAAAGAAATCTCTCATATCCCTAAGAAGTTCCAAACCAGGGAAATCTTTTCTGCAATATACTGTTTTTCATGAGGAGGTAAAAAATGAGCAATGTCTAGACCAGGTATGTCAAACTGCTAGCCCGCGGGCTGGATGCGCCATGCCGAAACTGTGCCTAACCCCATTGCCGGCAATGGGAAAAAAGTCCTGATACGTTGCACGACATCACATGACATCGTGAGTTTGACATTCCTGGTCTAAACTCACAAAGGAACCCAGTGCATAATGGTCACCAAGGTCTCATGAAAAAGAATCTACTTACTTTGTTAATTGTACTGTCAAGACTCCTTCATACAACCTTATTCAATTCCATTCTACCCAATAGTGATGAAAGCTTATTTTCAGATTATAACTCCTTTATTATATTTTATTGTGGTCTGGATGCAAGTCATTTTGAGTGTTCCTCATAAAATGGAATGTTTATTTCCTTTATGCAATTCCAATTCATTCTAGGCTGCCACTGGCCAGTCTACAATATTTAAGACTAAGGGTTATATTGTGCCAGGATACTGTGAATGTATTTGGGCAAAATCATTAAACATTTTCTTCAAAGGAAGGGTAACAAGCAGCCCGTTGGAGATGAAAGGCAATAAAACAGCAAATGGGAAGTAGCAATCCTTCTTTCCTCCTGTCAAGAAAGAGAGAAAAAGGACAGGATAGCTTCTATTGCTTTTTTCCTGACTTTTTAAAGTTGTTAGAAGCATAAAAGAAGGATGGAGAACCTCCAGATGTTACTGGGCTACAACTTCCAACAGAGCATGAAGTACAGCAACATTTGATGAGTCAAATTCTCTATTGCCACTGAGGAGTGGGCAGAGTACATACCTGCCAATAATCTCACTCACATGTACTTCTCCTCTGAATGGCATTGTGGCAAATGGAGTTACCTTCCTCTGGCAAGTCTTTTTTCATGAGTGATGTAGGGGATTAGACCAGGTGAGCAAGTACTTTTAATAGCATACCATTCAAAGGAAGCAGGAGAAATAGATGATTTGCTATTGTTTTTCTATCCAACTCTCTGTAACACATCAACTAACTAAAGCACAAATTAACAGAAAAGAGGCCTAGCTCAATCTCTAGGTCCAATCTTCTCCATCAATGTGTATATGGCTGGGGAGGGTGGCAACAAAAAAGGGAATGTAAAAAGAGGGAAAACAGGATCCTTATATTTTGCTACTTCCAACTTCTGTTGTAGGCTGAATAAAAATTAAGGCTGGCTTATTATTTATTTGATTAGCTTTCTTCGAAATAGGCTGCTTTTCATTCGAAATAGGAATGGCGGCCTTTTCGCCCATATGATTAACAGATGTGTTTTCTATCCCGACCTTAGGGCACCTGAAAATAAGGGCGAGGAGCGTAAGATCGGAGCAGCAGCTGCCTTCGAACAGGCCTGCTCTTCCTACTTGCAGGAAGGGAATCACCGTGCTCTTCTACAGAGGCTCCCCTCTCAGCCCCCATACAGGCCCGCACGGCTCAAAGCTCTTGCACCTCCCTCTCGCTCCTGCGAGGACAAGGCAGCTCCACCATCCTTTCCTTGACCCTCCGGGCTTCACCTGGTCCCGTTGCCCCCATTCCAGCAGAGGCCGTCGCCCGCTTCCTAGGCGTCACTTCCTCTCGCGCTCCCCCACCCTCCCGGCAGTTCGAGGATCTGCCCTCTCCCCTGCGGCCGGCCGGCCGGCCAGCCAGCCTTGCCTGCCACTCAGCTCTCTCGCTCACTCACCTGCTCTCTGGCCGCGGGGGGGGGATGGCGGCAGCGGGGGGGAGGGGACATCCCCTCCCCCCTCTGCCTTCTCCCTCCCCGCAGCAACAGCAACAGCAGCAGCAGCAGCAGCAGCAGCAGCAGGTGCCAGTGCCGCCGCCACCGCCGCCGCCACCGCCATAACTGGGGAAGCGGAGCAGAGCAAACCCCGACCACTCCCCGCGGGGAAATCCTCGCGGGAATGTGGGGGCGGAGCAACGGTGTTCCGGAAGCATAATGTAAAGCTGCGGAAGTCGTGCTTCCTCCGAGATTGCTCTTCGAAAATGCGACGTTGAGGGTGTTTAAACTTTTTTTCCCGACCTTCCGTGAAGTGATAGTGATTGCACGAGAGTCCATTGACTGCTCCCCATAAGCAAACAGTCTTGTAGTAAACAACACCATAATCAAGGGACTACCAGGGAGAAAATAACACTCCCACCAACACCGACAGAGCAAATATAAACAGCAAAGGCCATTTCCTTCGGTACTGAAGAAGTTACCTAATCGAGTATCAAAACGTCTGCAAAGGACCGACCTCAGAGAGCATCAGGGATTCCACAATAAAATATATTTTAAAACTGATCTTTATGAGAGGTAATGCCTTTGAATAGTATAACTTGTATATGAAGATTCTCTTGTCATCCAGGTCATGGTTGTCCCAAAGGTGCTTTTTTCAGAAGGCAATTGGACTTTGTTTTTCTTTGAAGACGTTTCGCTTCTCATCCAAGAAACTTCTTCAGTTTTCGACTAGATGAAAAGCAAAAACTTTTCAAGGAAAAACTAAGTCCAGTTGCCTTTTGAAAAAAGCACCTTTGGGAAGTACTATTTACAGTGCTTTTTTTCTAAAAAAAAAGGTGCTGTAACTCACAGATGTCCTACAACCCACCTTGCCTACCCTACAAAGTTCCATCCAGAAAAGGTGCTGGAACTCTGTTCTGGGCATTCTATGAGAAAAAAAGCCCTGACTGTAATTAAATTGTTATGTTATTTCCCTAGATTTTTTGGATAAAGTTTTTAAAAGTTAGTTTAAGGATTCACTACAGTTTTGATCTGTATCCTATGTATCCAATTTTTAGGTTAAAAGGAAGCTTTGAAGGCTGGCCCCCAAATCCCTAACAACACTACCTTAAACATTTTGTTTGAATCTAATGTTTTACCACAAGATGGCATTGTGATTTCACAGACTTTTGGCCTTTCCTCACTAGCGTCTAAGCATGGCACAAACGTCCCCTGGCAACATCCTTTTTTTTTTGCTAATCTCCATAATGTTGCCTTCATCTTGACCCCAATGGAGAATTAAAAGGATACTTTCTATTGTGCTCTTGGCCATATCCATTTGTTGCCACCACTGACATTCCCTTGAGTATTATCAATTTGATATATATTGGAACTTGGTGAATTGGTGAGAATTATATGTGGGATTAGCACTCTTTGAAATCTCCATACCTGTGCAAGATTGATGATCAATCTCACGAGGCTTGCACAGATAAAAGGGGAGTACTATTTAGCTATCTGTCAAAATTCATCTCCACACTGCAAATAAGCCCAACACAAATTTGTGCACATAAACCTGAAATTCAGTTTTAACAAATTGCTTAACTAAAGGTCCAGCCATCTGCCCAAACCATTTGCTAATTATATCACTGGTTTCTTGACAGCTAGTGATGTCTAGAAAGGGGCGGGCACATAAAGCCAGAGAACCGAAACAATGAGTATGTTTAAGATACCCTACAATGTCTAAAATTAGGACATCAGCTTTCAAGCTTGAAAAGAGGCAATGGAGGCAGGAAGGGGATTTCCAGTGGGGATATATCCTTACTGCCAAATTTTATGCTGACAACAGCTTTCTGCTAGCTAAAAGATGATATACAGCATATTAATTGAACTGAACCCCCCCCCCCCCCTCAAAAACTAAGTAGTAAAATAGAATAAAGTGCAGTTAAGAGAAAAGAAAACATGATAGAGAATCTGGTTGCCAAATAAGCAAGACATAAACACTTTAGAGAAATAAAGATCAAATTGAAAGATGAAAAGATAAATATAATTGTAGAACATAACATTTAAACTTTTGGATACTTTAAAACCATTTGAAAATCTTCCTTAATTGTTTCTGCCAATATATTTTGTTCTGCAAAGATTATAATATGTTCAAGGAACATTATTATAGAAAGAAAATGGTCATTGTGCAGAGTTTTTACTATTTGCCTGCACTGGCTTGAATTCCTGATATCTTAAAGCAAGTCTGTATATTAAAATGACAAAGGAATGGCACATTCCCTAAAGCAAAGTAAGTTCAATCCTTGGCCTTTTTAATCATCAAAGTGCGCAGTAGGTAAGAAGGGTTCTGATACAATCAGTCTGGAAGATAAAAAGAGATAGATTTCCTGTGGCAAATTAAAATGCTACTTTACTCCTGTATGTTCTTTTAGGACAAATCAAAATGGCATATCTTTATCTCCAAAATTTTTCATTAGGCAAGAGTGGAATGGAAAAAAAAATACTCTGAATGTTTTCAGCAATAGCTATGAGCCTGTAATTCAAAATCAATCACAGAATGGTGATGGTAGCTAAATGTATTTATTAATGTAAGTACTGGTGACTGTTTATGCATTGAGAAGCAGGATGGCTGTTCCTTCTCCCATTTGTGAAAGCTTAAAGCTTTCCCTGCATGCTGTAAGGACCCACTTCAACCCACATCTTAAGAAAACAGAACTCTTGGAAACAATTTCTTCCAACAGGAACTTTTATTAAGAATAGTTGATAGCAGGCATAATAGACAAGATCTGAGGGATTCCCTTACAGATCGATATTTTAACGTGTCCCTAAGCAAACCCCACCCCACAATTCATCCGGGTGGTTCAGACCAGCAAATTCCCAGGTGTTAAATCCATTGATGGGAAAGGAAAGATAACATCAATCCGGCTCCATTTGTGCACGATCATTCCACAGCTCTTCACACCTCATTTTGAGGATGCAGAAATAAACCAGGTCCAGGAGGTTGTATCTCTTCTCCCCCCACTTTCCTAGCTGCCCAGTAGAGAGGAGAAGTTCAGAGGGGTGCATAGTATAGGAGACAATTTGTTACATTGTAATGGTTAGCAGACATGAAGGTGAATAAACAAAAGGTTACTTTGTAGTGAATAAAGGAAGTGAAAGCAATAAACCCACATGCATATCCCCCCTCCCCATTGGGAGTATGGCAGAATCTAGGGAAGGGTGAGAATTGGTTTAGATCAGAGGAGATAGATAGAAAGGAAATATAACTGGATTCTGACACATGCACATACTATAGCACAAATATATTTTAACAACATCTTTCCTCTGCCACGTTCCTGTGACATTCCTTTTATCTGGACAGACTTGAACACTGGGCACTAACTAACAAAATGAAATTCAGTGGTGAAAAAAGCAAGGTTCTACATTTAGGCAAGAAAAACCAAATGCACAAGTACAGCATAGGTGGCACCATGCTCAATAGTAGTAACTGTGAGAGGGACCTCGGAGTCCTAGGAGACAATCACTTAAATATGAGCCAGCAGTGTGCTGCAGCTGCCAAAAAGGCCAACACAGTGCTAGGCTGCATTAACAGAGGGATAGAATCAAGATCACGTGAAGTATTAATACCACTCTTCAATGCCTTGGTAAGGCCACACCTGGAAATACTGCATCCAGTTTTGGTCACCACGATGTACAAAAGATGTTGAGACTCTAGAAAGAGTACAGAGAAGAGCAACAAAGATGATTAGGGGACTGGAGGCTAAAACATATAAGGAACGGTTGCTAGAATTGGGTATGTCTAGTTTAACGAAGAGAAGGACAAGGGGGGACATGATAACAGTATTCCAATATCTCAGGGGCTGCCATAAAGAAGAGGGAATTAAGCTATTTTGCAAAGCACCTGAAGGCAGGACAAGAAGCAACGGGTGGAAACTAATCAAGGAGAGAAGCAACCTAGAACTAAGGAGAAACTTCCTTACAGTGAGAACAATTAATCAGTGGAACAGCCTGCCTCCAGAAGCAGTAATCCTCCAACACTGGAAGTTTTTAAGAAGAGACTGGACAGCCATTTGTCCGAAATGGTGTAGGGTTTCCTGCCTGAGCAGGGGGTTGAACTAGATGACCTCCAAGGTCCCTTCCAACTTTACTACTATTACTATCTTGTCCCAGCTCAAGAATGAACTGGCTAAGTCATCCCTGGATGTTTTGGGGTTGTGTTTTCTTCCTATTTTTGACACTGTTCAAGAGCAGCCCTGAAGATATATGAAAATTTATTAGGCTTTGATATACACTACCTTGGAGAAAAATCAGTTGAATTTAGTTACAGGGAATCAAGGAAATCAAGATGGGCTAAAGCAGTAGTTCTCAACCTTCCTAATGCCGCGACCCTTTAATACAGTTCCTCATGTTGTGGTGACCTCCCACCATAAAATTATTTTCGTTGCTACTTCATAACTGTAATTTTGCTACTGTTATGAATAGTAATGTAAATATCTGATATGCAGGGTGTATTTTCATTGTTACGAATTGAACATAATTAAAGCATAGTGATTAATCACAAAAACAATATAGCAATGCTCACTGGAGAAGCTTTCTCTTGCTCAAAAATGTTGGGAGGAAGGGAAGGGGAAGGAAGGAAGGAGAAAGAGATTGAAGTGGAAGGGATGGAGATGGAGATGGAAGGAAGGAAGAAAGGAAGGAAGACTGAAGGGGAAAGGAAGGAGATGGA